CTGACTACAGGAAGCCCGAGGCAGAGTTGCTCTGCCCCGGGCTTCCTGGAATCAGCTGCTGATCAGTTTCAGCAGCAGCTGACTTGGGAACGCCTGGGGTTCTTAGGTTGAATCTGTATGTAAGTCAGAACTCGTGTCCAGATTCAGCGGCTGAATCTGGAGCCAGTTCCGACTTACATACAGATTCAACTTAAGAACAAACCTACAGTCCCTATCTTGTACGTAACCCGGGGACTGCCTGTATATTCATTCTGCTACCTCACTAAGATTTCAAGCTATGGATCCCAAAGGGCTATGGCACTTCTCAAATGGTTGTTGTGATGCTGGCTCTGGGCAGACCCCCAGGAAGGCAAGGGTAATTCAGAAATGCACTTGCTTCTGCCTGACTAGAGTTGGCAGCTGTGATTAAATAGCTGAGAACTTGGTAACAGTGGCCATATGGATGGATTGATTTTCAAAATGTAAATATTGTATCAAAACCAAATCACAGCTGAAACAGTCCAGTACAACAACCTTCTCCCCACATTCAACATATGAGATATTCCTGTGAATCTCTGGAACGACACAAACCTACAGAGCATAACACATAATAGCTTTTTACAGCCAACAATTTCTCTCTAGTTTCTCCTGAAGGGAGTTTATAATAAATTGGGTTTCATAGACTGAGAAGATCATCACATCTTTGAAAGCGACTTTCAAAACCAGAGCAAAGGAAGGGCTCGCTGACCTTGGAATGACAGCATGAAGCTTTTAAGGCTGAGTCACAATAGACTGCACCTGGGAAGATAACTGAAATCAGTTTGAAAATACTATGACAGGTAGAGAAATTGATGATGATTTAATATGCTACCCACCCGATCTTCAATCGCCAGACCACAGGCTCCAGACAGAATGCTCATAACACAGCGCTTACATAACACAATTCTGCAATGCTCTTCACTAAGGCTACGTCTACACTGGCCCCTTTTTCGGAAGGGGCATGCTAATTTTGAAAGTGGGAATAGGGAAAATCGCGGGGTTTAAATAAACATGTCCGCTTTTTTCCCGGCTTATTCCTACTTTAAAGTAGGAATAAGCCGGGAAAAAAGCGGACATGTTTATTTAAACCCCGCGATTTTCCCTATTCCCACTTTCAAAATTAGCATGCCCCTTCCGAAAAAGGGGCTAGTGTAGACGTAGCCTAAGTGTTTTTACAGCACTTTGTTTCACTTGCAGTGGACCCCAGACCACTTGTTTTCAGCCTGGGGTCCTACAGCATTCTGGTCTAAGAAGTCTATAAAGTATGTATAAGATTTCTAAAGGGATCATCAGCTCCTCTATTCAAAATTTTTAGGAGTCCACACATGAAAAAAGATTGAAAATCACTGCCCTAGATATGGCATGGGTCTCTACTGGATGCATGGCCCTAAACTAGTCCAATCCTCACCCCAATTCCTATCACAGAATCACTACCTTTACTCTCAGACTGCCATTTTATAATTCCAATCCCCCAGTCTTTCCTCCCCTTCCTTTTAAGCCATCTGTCCTCACCACATCTTTCCTATCCATGGGCAGCCACCTCAGGTTCAAAGCTTTACTTATCTGGCCAGCAGGCAGCTATAGCTGAACAAGTTACTCTTACCAGTGGCATCTCCCATTGAGTCTCAGTATCACCAGCACAGCGAGTGGGGGAATAGATGGAAGTCCCTTGCTCAAGGATAAACATTGGTTGAACATGGGTCTGCTGAACAGCAGCATAAGCCAAAGTTCAATTTTTCAAGATATTTGTTACCTTCATGCCATTAACCTTTCAAAATTAACACGCCTCTCACACAATCACCTTCATGGTCATCTGCTATCCACACGTTCTTAAATAATGGCACAAGTTAGCTGGGAACACTTCTTTAGACTTCTCATCAAGATCGTTCCTTGGCTGCAATTCTGAGTCTAACTCTTCATTCACTGTTTAATTCTAGTTAGCAAAGAAACAAAGTATTTAATTTAATGAATTATGCAACCTGATAAAATGAGCATTTACATTGCAATACATTTTAAGTGTGGGCTGAGTCAAGATAAACACTATTACATAGCCCAGGGCCAATACTTTCAGAATTATTTTTAAATAAAGGGGAAAGTATCTTCAGTGAAACATCAAACAGAAAAAAACTTCATGAACTGTAGTTAATTATACTACTCTTCCAATACAGTTAGATAAATATTGCAGTCAAAAATCTGTAAGCATTCCTAACCTTAGTACTTTGGCTAGTAGGAATAAGGTAAATAAGATAAAACTGTCACAGCCCTATCGCACTCAGATAATATCAGTGCACATACCCACTGGATAAAAGAACTCAAATGAAATACACTCTTTTATAACTTGGCTCCTTTTTAATTATAGCTTTAATTCTTTGGTCTATTCTTGACAGTTGACTTTGCTGGTAAAGCCCATTATTTACCTCCCTCTGCCACATTAAAAATAAAACACAAAACAAAACAAAAAAACAACTACACGCATTTGTGTTGCACCCAAAATCATGTGCCTATATTTACTGCTCTGCCTCAGAGCTATATTATGCATATTAAATTTGGAAAGCATTTAGGCTAAAGCAGTCCTAAGTTTATGATCCTGTTGGTTTTAAAAGCAAATGTTAATGAAATATGTGCTACTTATGGAGAAGTGCAAGCCCAATGGGAGGCATTTTAATTAATACAGTTTGTTCAAAGAAAAACAAATGTAATTCCTCCTCATCTGTCAACCAGCTGTACTGCAACCTGAATGCTGGGAGTGAAGAGAACACTGATAAAGCAAGACTGTGAGAAAAGCCAGACAGAATTGGGACTTGTGAAAGAAAAGCTGAGAAACTAAGCCAATTCCATCAATATTGGGTGAATTTTTTTTAAGCAACATTCACTTTTTATATTCTATAAATTTTTTACCATCCTCTCTGGCTTCAGGCTTAACTTTCATAACAGAGGTTAGCAGTTGATTCTTTAAACACTCTTCCCTGAGGAGTACTCTCATTTTGTCCTACAGCATTCTGATTATACAGGCTTGTGAGTTTACACTTGAAGACCGAATGGCAGAAGGCATGGGGAATGGCAAGGATAAGAGATAGCATTGGTATGGCTGGCTCTAGCATACTGTTTCCCTGCAGACAAGCCTTCCAAACAGCCACCTTACCAGTCAGTAGTCTTCTACACAAAAGTCATTAAAAGCCTGATTTTAATCCTACTTATACCAGTTTAACTCTATTGACATCAAACTCCTAATTTAATAAATGGTATAAATGATATCGACATCAGGCCCTAAACATTTTGCTGACTCTGATATTACTTCTCCGAGGTCAACCACTCATCCTGAAGTATTTATTCCTTTCATGAAATAGGGAGAAAAAAGGTGGTTGCATACAAGAAGGAAGCAAAAAAAACTAACAACCTCAAAAACAAAAAAAACAACCCTCAGTGACGTGCCCCCAAATGAGAAGAAAGAAAGACACTCCCCACATTCCTCTTGCACACCAGAGCTTTGGGGGGGGGGGGGGGGGGGGGTGGAGGGGGCAGGGAGGGCTGGTGCACCAGTGAGGGCTCATGAAAGAGGGTGGGTGGAGGGTCTGAGCCATGGGAACTGGATCCAGACAAGCATGGGCCACATCTGGGCCCCAGGCCTTAGGTTCCCTACCCCTGCAATAGGGTTATAAACTCTTCAGATATTTGTTTCTTTTACAGAATGACTGACATTAAGATATGTCAGACAAGATGACTTCCCTAGAAATATTGTCTCTCTGATTGTTCTTTGGAAACAGTTTCACTGACTTAATACTGGAATCTAGCTTCAGGCGTTTGCTGGCACTCTCACTGACACACAGACATGTTTTATTTCCAGATCTATGCCAATGAATTTTTAATCAACTGCGCTGCTCAAATAAAATATTTTCCATCAGAATCTGATTCTGACCTTGCAGTCTACAATCTATAAAAGTACTTTCAATTCAGAGCTACAGAACCATTTGGGCCAATGGACATGAGTACCTAGAGCTGGCTGAGCTTTGTCAAAGCCTGTTTTGCCAACTGAAGAGAAGCCGACTCCCCTCTTCTGGATACAATCAGGACATGCAAGGGCTGAGAGTTGAAAAATATGTAAGTTGAGGCAAACTCACTTTGCTGCAGGTTTGCTCTAGATACCAGGGCAGTCTACAAGACGTTATTCAAAAATGTTTTATTAAAAAGAACTCCACACATATACGAATATTTTGCACAGCCCAGCTTTGCCTATTTCAAGGCTCCATTCTAGCACTGCTCTGTACATTTCAGCCAGCCTTCTTTCTTCACTGTTCTCTTTGGCCATGTCTTCATTACGGGGAAGACTGACGCTGACGTGACCCATCTTCCGGAGTTCAATTTTAGTAAGGACCCGCTAAAAATCAAACTCAGAGAGCACCCCTGTTGGCGCCAGTACTCCTACTCCTAACAAGGAGCAAGGGAAGCTGATGGGAGCATCTGCTCCTATCAACCTCCCGCTGTGGAGACTGTGCAGAAACTCGAATTAAGGTATGTCGACTCCACCTATGTAATCAACGTAGCTGGAGTTGCGCATCTTAGTTCGACCTTCCCCTTTAGTGTAGACCTGACTTAAGTGACAAAACATGCCTGGTATTTGGGCAAGCGGGGGAAAGAGATGGAGAAAGTGGAGTTGCAAGGTTCCTTCCTAACCCCTTAGGCATGACTCCCACAAAAAGGACATGAACAATGGTACGCCTTAAGCGTTTCTATTAGGGATGTATAAGTGGGGCCAAGAGGAATGAGGACAAATAAACGGTAGGGTTACAAACACTGGCAAGTTATTACAGCAGTTCAATCATGTGGAACTAAGCATGTTACATTTGCCTAAGGGTGATGCAGAAGGCACACTCCCTTGCTTGCTAGAAAGCTTGATCATGACTAAGTTAGGGAGTTCTTTAAAGGCACAACTTGATCTTTTGCGTCCATTTCACAGAAAAACTCATTGTTTTCCCCTTCGATAAAAGGTACTTTCTTCATTAGAATCTATTTCTCTCTTACTATACTCATAACTCTTTGAAGAAAGACTCCTGGAAAGCACATTTGTCACAAATTAGATTTCTAGACCAGTGGTTTTCAAACTTGTCTCCCTTTGCAGACTCCTAAAACATTTCAAGGGAAGTGCAGACCCATTTGGAAATCATAGGCCCCTGGGGACCTGCAGACCACAGGTTGAAACCCAATTTCTAAATACTAGACTAAAAAGCTTCAATTTACCCTCATCTGTGGGATCAGTTGCCAGGATTCACTGTAAACATGCTTCAACAAGGTTGGAAGTCTATATACCCAAGACTGCAGTGGTGGAGCTAGCTGAGACAGTTTAGTAGCCTTTCATTTTGTGACAACTCTCAGCAAATGAACATGGTGATTATTATTGAAACACTAAATTTCAAACAAATGCAATCATAAAATCTTAGAACTTGTATCTAGACACAACACTGAAAAGTACAGGACTTGTAAATGACATGGTAATAAAGCAGTTAAGCAAAAAATGCTGCCACTGTCCACCTTAAACATTCCCATTGGGTGATTACTAACTACACTGTTTCAATTTTTGCTGAGTAGCAAAACTCATTTGGTAAATCACCACTCATTTGGAAGTGTACCTGCCATTTGAAAGTGCAATAAAAGGACAGCTGGTTTATTGTTCCTTGACTAATATAAATTTTAATAGCTGTTCCAAGCACTCAGTTTCTCCTATATGGCCTTTACTACTTAGAAAATTATGCATTTTAGGTAGAATGCTACCCCCACTCCCCTCTGAAACTTCCAGACCCTGTTCATTGGATTTTCAGCTTGACTAATGCTTTCTTTGATGATTAAAAGCAGTAGAGATGGTGTTGCCATCACATTTATCCAAGCAGGATTAATCAATAACTTTTAGAATGACTAGTAATGAAGTTTGTGGAACCAAGAAAAACAATTCTCATGTTACCCAAGTGACTGAACAGAAGTAGTTTAATAGCCAGCACTGAATGTAGAACTTGTCATTATATGTATAAATAATATCAGTTAGATGACTCATGTTTTACATATAACATTATTTCATTTTATACCGAAGTTTGAACACTGTAGTCAGATTTGTAGAGGAATAATTTGGTGACTCCTAGTTGCTATTCAGAGGCATACTTTTAAAATTAAATAGTTGTTTAAAATGACAGATATATTTTTGGATTAGGAATGTAAATTCCTGTTTAATAGGTTAACACTGAATATATTGTTGAACTGGTTAACTGATTAAAGGGGAGGGCGGCAGGGAAGACTCTCCCCTCCATTGCAGGCTAGGATGCCAGGCCACCGGGGACAGAGGCTGTTTGGTCAGGATGCCAGAGCAGCCCCTGTCTGTGGTGGCCCAGGGCTCCCTGCAGGCAAGGACTGCTCCAACCTAGCTGGAACAGCTTCTGTGGCTGGCGAGTCCCCCGCAGGACTGGAGCAGCCTCCTGCCTGAAAGCGAGGAGCTGCTCCAGCCTTCGCCTGTTAACCTTAACTGGTAAGCCTCATCCGTTAACTGGTTAAACATTTACATCCCTATTTTGGATGCTCAGGCATATCAAACTACAAAGAGAATCTGTTGAACCAACTAATCAATGTAAACTGTTCAGCTAAGAAAATATCTTCCTAGCACATAGGAGCCTCAATCTTAGACCACCACCAAGTTTACAACATATTACATCTATAATAGTCCTTATCCCCTCCACCCATCTCTACAAGTCTTTCAGTTAGGACAGAATATGAACGCCCTGCATGCTGATCAAAGATCCTACATTTTGTAAAATTAAAACAATTAACTCAAATGTATGAACAAATTCAACCTATCATAATTATTACTGGAGGAGTGGAGATTGATAGAAATTACTTCTTAGGTCAATGGAAGGATTCGGTAAGCCAGCAGGCAATGATGCCTCTTATTGGTTA